AAATTTGAAAATAAAATGTGATAAATTAGAAAAATTGTTCAGTGTGGTGACAATAAAGATATTAATGTAGAAGAACTCCATGACGAAATAGTAGCTTCGAAAGACATTTCTACAGCCGGTATGAATGACCCATTCGATATTTTGAACTTAATTGCCTCAAATAATTTGTTCTTCCCGAACTTGAAGATCGTACGTACTGAGAATACAACTTAGCATTCCTGTTAGTGTTGCTAGTAGCGAAACATCATTCTCCAAATTAAAATTGATCAAGACATATTTACGTTCAAGTATAATCGCAGGAGAGACTCAAATGTAGCTTTGATTGCTATTGAAAATGAAATCTGTCAAGAACTAGATGCAAAAGAAATTATAGAAAAATTTGTAAATATGAAATGCAGAAAAATAAATTATTCTCAATAAATTGTTAAAATCAATTTCCACAAATGCTTTCTTCAAAACTTCCTTCTCCTATACAAAAATTTAGAAAAAGGGGGGCGACTTCAGCTATTTTGCAGGCGGGCGCCGGATAACCTTGCGCCGGCGCTGACTATGATAAAACCCTTAGGAGGGGAAAAGTGTCATGTCTGTCTATATAAAGGGAGTACGTCATCAAAGGAGGTTAGAAAACTTGGAGATGCCGTTCGTGCAGTCCTGATGAAGTCAAAAAGGGAGCAAAACATGCCCTTAGTAGTCCTGGCTTAGAATTACGCTTTGTTCATACACTGAAGCAGAACCTAGGCACACCCAGTTTCGATCCTTTTTTAAGGCTCCTATAAAAGGATCTCGTCGTTTTACCCCTAGTCAGAAAAGCTACCCATCTTCGTATTTTTTTTAACACAAAATTCAGTTGGAAAGATCACATCAGCTATGTTAGAGGTAAGTCAATAGGGGCCATTCAGAGCCTAACTCCCTTACTCTATTCCGATTTCAAGCTGGACCTGCGCAGAAAAAGACATCTGTACGTAGCGGGCATCAGACGGATTTTTTCTTATGCTTCACCGGCATGGGCCGCCATCAGAAGTAAAGAATTAGAGAAACTCCAAGTGACTCAAAATATGCTTTTACGTACAATGACCAATGCTCATTTTCTCGTATCGAACAAAACCCTGCAGAGAAATTTAAGAATTGAACCAATTCTGACATATCTACACAGAATGAACGATAACTTTTTTACCAAAGCAAAAAATTGTCCCCGCTTAAAGAAATTGAAAGTTTTCGACTGCATAATTTTAGAGGAGGATTGTGAATTAAGGTCTCTTGCGGCTCGCTTTTCCTGTGACTCAAACTTTCCGTCGTAGCATGCACTCGACCATCTACATAGCTTGTATATATCTTATCCTCATTTTGTATGCATTTTATTTTTACAGTGTTTTCCTTGTATTTCATTTATATGTTATTTCATCTATTTATTGTATTTACGCTTAATAAAGCCCACTTGATATTTTTACTACCTGTCAAGTCATATTCGTCCGATTGGTCTCTGTTTATTTTCACATAAACACTTCACCTCATATTACATAGTGTACCTTTGCTGCTCTCCTAGGTTCCTCATGCGCTCGACTTTGCTCATTGTTTCGGGGGCATTGTGACTTATAATCACCTCCATACTTGTTGCTATTCGCCATTGGAACAGCATTGTTTTGTTGACATATTAGTTGATCGATTCCGATCAAATTTTGAGAAATATGGGTGGATGTGCTGCATCGAATTGTTTCAATAATTCTAAAAATAACTTTAGGATGTTTCATGTCCCCAAAAATGAAAAAAACACGAAGAAAATTGATAATTAATTCTCATCGAGATAAATAGATTCCGGGCCCAGAAACGTGTCTTTGGGAGGTAGGTTCAGCTCCGTATTTTTCCATAGAATGTTAGAAAAATGACTGTATTTTCAATTAACTGTCACTTATTGACGATCAACTAATTTTATAAATACAAAATCAGTTGCGGAATATGTTTATGCCCAATATCGCCAATACTGTTTGTGATGTTGTTGTTCATATTACCGCGAATAGTTTATACTATTTGTAAAATTGTATCCTACATTTCATGTAAACTTTGCGCTCGATTAGGAATGTGATGTGTCTTTTTTTAGTTCGTTTTACTGTACGATTGATGATTTAATTAGCATTCTATGTCTTCATTCTGATGTATATTTGCCAAATCTGTTAGTTGGCGTCAATGTTAAAAACTGGAGAGTGTGATCTAAATTATAAATGATTTTGGTTTTTTATATTAAGATACTCTGCATTTTTTAGGCATTTTGAAGAAGTATTAATTTAAATATTCGACGAATCATTTTGATCCTATCATCATGCTTTATGTAGTAGAAAATCTTCATATATTTTTAACTATTACTTTAAATTTAATTTCAATGTGTGAACAGGAAATATGTTTTAAGTATCTTTAAAAACTTAATTACTTTTCTTAATTTTATTCGATTTTCATATAAAAATTAAAATTTATCGAAAATGACATTCTTAAAAGTGTGATTCATCCATTTAATACATGTAACTGTAATTAAATATTAGTGCTTTAGATTTTAATGTTAAATTTCATGCATTCTTCTGTTAAATTTGTAGGTACATTTTGAAGAAAATTAATTTGCTCGTAAATTTATCAATGCTCATAAATGACATAGTTCATAAATTTGTTATGGAAGATCTAATCGTCTGCTAAATCAAATTTACTTTTGTCTGACCTTAAATCTGAGAACTGATGTTTGCCTTGCTAATCAATGTCATAGTATTGTAATGACTTGCAGGATTTTTCGTAATGTGATGTTGCATTATGTTTTACTCTTCTTTGTTATCAAATAAATAAAAAGAGTGTATTCCTAATCAGATATTTCTTCTTCTGTAAAAGTTTTATGTATCATGATGTAATACTTGGGATTTGTTTTTAAAATATATAACAGTATTTTTTAGATGTTTATAGAACCAGTGTATTTTATTTATTTAATTATTTTTTTTAAACAGGTTTTAATTCGAGGCTTTTTCTCCCTTTCAGTATGCACTTAAAACTTACTTAAGCTATATTTTTAACATATTAATGAGATATATGTAAATGAAATAAGAATATTATGTTAGCTACTTTAATAGAAAAAGAACTAAACTAAAATGATATACCTTGAAAACGTTTTATTAAAAATAAGAACACTATATTAACGGTGTTGGCTAAGAGTTCAGATGATTTTTTTTTTTTTTTTTTTTTTTTTTTTTTTTTTTTTTCCCCATTGATTTTTAACATCTCCACACAAATTCATTTAAATAAGAATTCAGTGAAGTAGAATCCTTCTGTATAAAGCTGTTGACTTATAATGGAAAAAAGTCCAATTACTGCTGTATGTTTAACTAAAATTTGAATATAATGGAATAAATCGCACTACGTTAGGAAAAAGAGTGAAAACATTTCCTTTTTTGCTTTATTTTCACTATAAGTATATGTGTTTTGCATACACTTGTTACTAGAGGACTTAGTCTATAGGTCTGAAGCTAAATAACATTTTTATGTTTTTACATACGCAAATTAATTAATAAAAGAAACTGTGATTTAAGCATTTTCCTTGCTGTGATACAAACTTAATCTTATGTATGTGATATACGTAGATTGAATTTTATGAAATTATCATTAATTATTCAGATATGTATAATATGAACAGCATATGTTTTTCTCACTTAATGCGTGTAAATTCTTATAAATTTATGAGTATTTTTTCTATGTATTATAAAAAGTAGCTATCAATAATAAATGTATTAGTAAATAACATCTATAAATTCTGTAAGTAAAGGTATTATTTTTATTTTTACCTATTTATGCACGAACTATTTTTTTAATTTCATTTTTAGCTAAATGAAGAACAAAGCACATGTTTTGGGTATGGAATTTTTTCTATACTAAATTTATATAAAAATTTACTTTTTAAATATAGAATCCCACAGCCATCAGAGCATTGAAGTAGCTTTTATAGCATTCTGCACTTCATTCTAAAAGCATTATAATTTAAAGGTGCATTTCTTGAATCAGAATTTCAAATCATAAAACTTTTAGCTGCCTTTTCTGGAAACACACACAAAATAACATTTTTAAGTAGTTTGCTACAATAATAGATGTTTGATTCCATATGAGCAAACTTCAATTAGCATATTAAAAATAAAAAAAAAAAACAAAATTATATGCAGACAAGCTATTACATTTTTCAGAAGTTTAAATATGAACTGGTTAGACATATTAAAGCATCTGTAATAACTTACTTACATCTTCTTTATCGGTGGTTCTTGTGTTCTATTGGCCAAACAAAGACACTTTCCTTTAACTAAATCTATTTAATGAAGAGAAGACTATGTACAAATATTATATACAGATTACAGAGTATCTAGTTTATGTCACTCTCAACCACTCTCATCAACCTCTCAACCCTCTCTCCCGAAACTCTTAATTAGCTAAACATACGGGCGGCGCAGCGCCCTCTATCTCTTTTTTTCTACATCACTCCCCACCTGTACTCTTTAACAAGAGTACACAAACTTACTTACATAACAATATCAACATTAATTAATAATGGATTAATACTAAATGGTATGACATATATAAATGAATAATAATATAAAAGAATAATCTATACTAGTATATATCAAAGCCACAAATGAAACATAATAATTAATAATATAATAATAAAAACTCAATAATATCAAAAGTTCTAAATTAAATCTCGAAAGGATATAACATCTGGATCGATCTTCTGAATTGTCCTTTGGGAGTGCGAACGAGGCACGCTCGAACATGTCCATCTCTTCCTATAATCACGTTTTCAATTACACCCATGTCCCAAAGTAGTTTGGATTGTTTTGGTTCTACCAACACAACGTCTCCATTCTTAAGGTTCCGCTCAGTTTTAGGATTAGCAAAGTTATGCGCATTTCTAAGATGGAGTAAATATTGCTCTTTCCACTTGATCCATGTTAATTTTAAGAGCTTAGATTGGTAAAGCTTCCTCCTGGTTAAAGTCTCTTTGTCGGATACCTTGTTAAAAATTTCCAAGAAATGCTCGGGAAAGTTAAATGTACCACGTCCTGGCAATAAAACTGTGAAGGTGTGAGCGGGCGAGGTTCACCCAGCTCGTTGCTCTCGTATGTTAGAGGTCTATTATTTAGCACACACTCGAGTTCAATTAATATTGTAGAGAGCTCTTCGAAAGTCAGTAATGCTCTCCCTAAGATTTTCTTCAGAGGTTCCTTGATGCTTCTCATCAAACGCTCCCAGAACCCTCCCCACCATGGGGAACGCTCAGGTATGAATTTCCATGTTACCTCTTTGGATGTCAAGAAATCACTCACACTTGGATCTGCTTTGATTCTTTTAAATCCTTTAATTATTTCACATGTGCTGCGGAAATTCTTCGCATTATCTGAATAAATCACTTTGCAGCTCCCTCTTCTTGCTAAAAAAACTTTAAAAAAACTTTTAAATAAACTTTAAAAAAACTTTTTTTCGTAATGAAAAAAATGAAACTTTTTGCTGACATATCTGAAACCACTTCAATGTGTACAGCACGAGTGACGGCGCATGTAAATAAGGCTATGTAAACCTTTTTGTGGTTACCCGCTTTTTCTCTAATAGTAACTGCTCCCGTTAAGTCGATGCCTACTACTGTGAAAGGATTACTTTGGACTACACGATCTGTGGGTAACTGACCCGTTAACTGTTTGGCGGGCTTCACTGCGAACTTTTTACACACCAGGCAAGCGTTAATAACTTTCTTTACTACTTTTCTTCCTTTAGGTATCCAAAATTTATTCCTGACTTTGGACAATGTTGCCATGACTCCTGAATGGAATACTTTTATGTGTTCACTAAATATCACTAGTTCGGTGAACTTCGTTTTGGGCAGAATAATGGGATGTTTTTCGTCATCTATTAATTCTGATTGTTCCAAACGACCTCTGACACGCAAAATACCTCTACTGTCCAGATATGGTGCTAAACTGTAAAGCTTAGAATCTGGTGTTATTAGATTATTCCTCTCTAGTTGTTGAATATCCGAAAAGTAATTCGCTCTCTGTACTTGTTTTATCCCGTACTCCTCAGCTTCTTGGATCTCCAATACAGTAAGAGGACCTTCTTCACAGGCACGTTTTCTTAGCTTGGCGACAAACCGCTTTACCCAAGCTGTAACTCTCAACAATTTTTCTAGACTGCTGAATTTGGTAATGTCTAACGCATTTTCTTCTTCTGGAATAGTCACTTGAACATAAGTGCTTAAACGTTCTAAATTTTGAGAATCAGTTTCTACTTTAAACTTCTGCTCAGGCCATTGATCTTCAGAATCTTTCAACCATGATGGACCATGCCACCAGTTATTATCTTTCACCAATGCATTTGCTGTTTCACCACGAGTTAATTTATCTGCTGGGTTTTCCGACCCTGGACAATATTTCCACTTATCAGGCGAGGTACAGTCTTGTATTTCTGCAACTCTATTCGACACGAACTGTTTCCACTCACGCGCTGACCCCTTTATCCACCACAAGCAAATTTCGGAGTCCGTCCACAGAACTAACCTACCTACCAAATCCTGAAACATTTTCAATAAATATTTCCCTAACCTAGCTGCAACTACAGCCCCCATCAATTCCAACCTAGGGAGGGACAACTTTTTTAACGGAGCTATCCTACTCTTCGACATTATAAACGACGTACATACCTCTCCTCTCTCATTCTTATATCTAAAATATGCCACCGCTCCATATGCCACTACTGACGCATCACTGAAAATATGAATTTCAACCGACTGACCTTTACTTAGAACTTCTGTAAAGTAGTACCTCTCTATTTTCAACGCGTTTAATTCCTCAATTTCAGCGCACCACTTTATCCATTTGCACCGTAACTCCTTTGGCAACTCTGCATCCCACTCCAAACCTCTCTCCCATATTTCCTGCATCAGTCTCTTAACTCGCACCACAAATTTGAGAAATAAATCCGACTGGGTCAAACACCTTAACTGCTGTGCTTAACACCGATCTTTTACTATTTCTCAACGATTCCAAACTACTCAACAATGATGTAACGTCTACTCTCAAACCATCCTCTTCTAAGTTCCACACCAAGCCTAACACTTTCAACTTACTATCTCTCTCAGACCTACTTTCTTCACACAACCCTTCCTGAACCCACAAGTCATACAGCTCTTTAGAATTAGTGTTTAGCTTTCTCAAATTAAAACTCGCGTCTCTCAAAATAGATACCGCCTCTGATGAAAGACTGAAAGCTGATTCTACACTTTCCCCTCCATAACACAAATCGTCTGCATACAGTGAGCTATTTAGCATCTCGACACAGTTTTTGTTTGTTTCCGCATATTTCTTTAAATGATGTTTGATCGTTGCACTCAATAAAAACGGTGAACAATTACATCCAAATAATACTCTGTTCATTTGCATAATTTTAAAGTCCTCACTGTCATTATCAGGATACCAGAGAAATTTTAAATATTGCCTATCTTCCCTTGCTATCCCAATCATCAAAAACGCCTTTTCTATGTCACCGCAGAATCCAATTTTAAATTTTCGAAAGGAAAGAATGATATCCAAAATATTCGGATTTAGGTTTGGGCCCTTTTCTAAGCAATCGTTTAACGATAGCTTTTCCTCTTTCGCAACTGCTGCAATTAAATACCATTCGAACTTGAGTGCTTTTTTTATCTTTACGGACCACTGCTCGGAATGGCATAAAGTATCCCTCTCTCGTATCCTCACACTCTTGAATAATGTTGTTTTGTGTCTGAAATTTAATTATTTCCATAAACTGTTCCCTCACAAAGCTGTTACTTTTAACTCTCGCTGCACCCTTTCGAACTGCCTTTTCGCTAAACCAAAATTATTTTCCAAATGCTCTGGACTCCTATTCCACAACAAGCGAGCCTCATACCTTCCCGTCTACATATTTCAAATCCTCTTCAAATTGTTTAATTATTCGCTCATCGCCAGAACTCCTTTCCGACGCGCACTCAGAGATTCCTAGACTTTCAATCTCCCAAAGCTGACGAATCTGTTCCGATATTTTTAATTCCTCTTCCGAATCGATGTGTATAAACAAGCCGGTGGAGTCTGACCCTGAACTTAGCTTCTTACTCTCTCCCCCCACTCTACCACTCAACGTCCAACCGAATATGCTTTCATGCAGTACTAAATAGTCTGTTAACCGATGTGTTTTCCCGTTAAGATGCAGTTCAAGTAATCATTCCCAATTAAAATCTGTACCTCTGCCACTTCACTATCGCAGCTGTCAGATAAGTGAAATCCTTGTTGGCGAAGATTGTTTATAATTTCTGCAGATGGCTTGGGTAATGCATTGGAACATATGGTTTTTACTTCGAGTGCTTCGATGATTAGAGTGAACCCTGTCTTATTTTTTAGAGAAAGTCTTTTTCTTTTAAATTCTCGCACTGGCGGATTCGAAGATGCAAATGTATGAATTCTTAATCTTTCTTTACCAATAGTTGGTAAACTTGCTTTTCTGGAAATAGACTGACAAACATAAGATCTTTCGGAAGCTGAATCGCATAACAACCTAACGTTAAATGTGGAATTATTTCCTACCAGTTGACCTCTCAATGTTTGATAATAAATCACGTCATTAGGAATTTGCTTGCTCAGTGTTTCGAGGAATAGTGAACTAACGTTTGTCTCTTTTGCTGCGCTCGCAGTATTTTTAATGGATTTATTTTCTTGCCCATCTGCATCACACAGGCTCTCTAAATGCGACAAAGATTTGCAAATATTACATTTAACCCATTTTGCCTTACAAAATGGTTTTTTGTGACCCTTTTTTAAACAGCGCTTGCACTTAAATTGATCGTATAATGTTCTTTGTGTTTCTCTGAAATACTTAAGTCGCAGTCTTTTGAGAGGTGAGATTTAAGACAAAAGTCGCACATATAATTTTCGACTGATGTATTAAGCGTCGCCGCTGATACCATTTTCTTTTTAATTGGAGCAACACTCTTACGATAGTTGTCGGTATTTCTTTCACTGGTTATCGAAAGTGTTTGTTGTTTAAGACCCAGAGTTAAGTGACTTTTCGCGGCGCTTCTACTTCTCTCTTTAGAAACAATAATAAATAAACAACAATAAATAAATAATAATAAATAAATCTGACACTGTGTGTTAATACAACTGACTGTTGACTCTGTGTCGACCTTTTGCTCCCTACTAAACTGTAACACTAAATCTTGCGGTATACACTTATATAAAATAGGAAGTAATAGATTGCCGTAAGAATTAAAATTAATATCTAATGTCTCTAAACTTCTTGTTTGAACTGTTATTTCATCATATAGTTTTCTTAAACTGGATACATCACTTGAACGGCGTACTGGACTCTAAAGCTAGGAGAACGTTCATATGCGCGCTAACTAATATTTCTTTTTTCCCAAATCTGTCAGTTAAGATTTCGATGGCCTTTATATAGTTTTCTCCTATTAATGGCAATCCGCTTATAGCTTTTGCAGCTGAACCGGTGAGTAAAGATCTTAAATAGTTAAACTTCTCAACATCTTGAAGCGTATTGTTTTCGTGAATGGCAGCTTTATACTGAGCCCAAAATTCAGTAAATTTACATAAATCGCCGCCGCTGAAAGTTTCTAAGGTAATGCGAGGCAATTTAGTATTATAATTAATTTTGATTTCCGAAACTTGTGAAGTTGTTCCGGTTTTACCCACATTTTGAATATATCTATTGACTTTAGATTTACATCTAATGATGGATTCGCTGTATTCTAAACAATGTTCTACTTCTGTCTCTAATTCCTGAACAGTGCTTTGAGCATTAATAACTTCATCATATTTTAACAAGCTACTTTCTCTCTCGATTAACACTGAAAGCGATTCCTGCAACACTTCTAGGTTCGGATTCTCGCTTTGCAATTCCTCATCTAATTTCCTTATTAATTTGTTACACTGGTACGAACCGAACCTCTAATTTTTCTATTTCTCTCGACGGTTTCTTCAAAAACTCATTATCAAAGATAAATTGCAGATAAATGAAATGACTCACCTTCTGGCCTGATGCTACCAAAAACTTGATGTATGTAATAACTTACTTACATCTTCTTTATCGGCGGTTCTTGTGTTCTATTGGCCAAACAAAGACACTTTCCTTTAACTAAATCTATTTAATGAAGAGAAGACTATGTACAAATATTATATACAGATTACAGAGTACCTAGTGTATGTCACTCTCAACCACTCTCATCAACCTCTCAACCCTCTCTCCCGAAACTCTTAATTAGCTAAACATACGGGCGGCGCAGCGCCCTCTATCTCTTTTTTTCTACAGCATCAGCATGCACTCTTTTGCATTTATCATGTACAATTTGTTTACAAGTTTAACAAAGTATCTGTGGATTCAGGAAAGCTTCACAAACTGAAAAATTACTGAAGTTGTAGTCATACCAAGTTGTACCCACAGCTTTAATGTCCCCTAAATATTTCAATATGTAATATAAATAAAAGTAATATATTTAACTCCATCAGTACTGAAATGCCACAACTGAGAAATTAAGAATTATCATACAAGTACAATACTGAGAGATCTATAATTTTATATAACACATGAAATTACCTTGAATTCTAAAAGAAAAATAGTGAAATAACTAGCAAAATATGATTTCAAAACCAGTATAACCTCACACAAAATTAAGAATATGCCTGCTAGAAATCTTTTGTCAAAAATACATCTTGAGATGCCTGACATTCTGCATGTATTTAAAAGTAAAAATTGAAAATTCAATAAAGGAAGTCAAAAAGAAAGTATTTTTAACTAATACACAAATTTGAAATATCATATATGAAAATGCTTTAGAAACTTTTAAAATAACGTAATTCATATGAGAAATTTGGCAGTTAAAAAAAAATGCGAGAAACAAGATACATGCTTTTACATGAGTGCAAAAAAGCGGAAGTTTAGATTTTCTAGAATGTTAAATAATGAAGTTTTAGCGAATACCGCTAAAGAGCCAAAATAAGCGCCCCAAACCGGAAATGAAACACTAAAGCATGGTTACAACATGACTGACGAGTCAGCCTTGTCTCTCTAGTAACTCTAGTTCCTGTCAGTCGTAAGATTTCTTATTGTAGATGCACTAACTTTAAATCCGAAAAGAGTGATTTATTATTTTTATATTCAGAGGGAATTTGTCTGCTTTGTGTTTCTAAAATGAAGCTTGTTATGTTGAATAAACTGCACATTAACTAAAGTTAATGGTGGAATGTAGCCTACTTTTATCTGTTTCATTTATGTACGTAATTTAAAGCTTCTATGTAATTTATTTTATTGTATCTATAAATTACTGTAGCTTCAATAATGAGGCATAAATATTTCTTCCTTGAAAACTTATGCAGTCATGTCCTGTTATTTTTTTATAAAACAATATTATAATATATTATATGTTAACTCTTTCGTATCGAAGTCGCCCGTAGCGCCCGTTCATTCAGGCAACGGCAAACCGCCCCAACGCCTCGTTTATTTTCTACCTAGTTCTTTCCCCTCCACGTTAGTGTATGACTCATTGATTTCGCGAGTTGTTAAAAGACATGTCAATCATTCTTTTGAAGCAAATAAAGGAGAAAGACGGAAAGCTATTGACGTTCGCAGGTGCAATCCGGCCCTAAGGTGAAACTGCACACAATGGATGAATGGATGAAACCGCAGAAGGGGGAAAGGAAAACTATTCCAAGACAAATTCGTAAACACGGGCGTTTTCGATGTTCGTTTAAAACAGATTTGGTCGTCTCTCGGTGAGAAAGAGTTAACTGTTAGTTATATAGTTCTGTCATTTGTGCCATGCTTATTAGAATTTCAATATTGAATAAATTACCTTTGTGCTCACAGAATTTTTCTGAACTGAGATAATCTGATTATTTATATGTGAAGTGATAGAAATATTACATAACTTTGTTTTGTATATTGTATAAGACAAAATAATTTTTGTGTTTGCATATTTTATAATTTTTACACATGTTTTTCCTTGTGCAACCATATATCTTAAATAAACATAATAATTTTTGTGAATTAAAAAAAATTACTGATGATTAGTTTTGGATCTTTTAACGAATAAGCATCAGTCAATCTTTAGCATAAAAAAGTCAATTGAATCTTAATTTAATAGGCTAAGTGCTATTAAAATTCCTGTGTAATAAATATTATTTGACTCCTGTGTATTAAATATCGTTTGACTTAAACACGTGTCAAATAAATGTAAAAACTAGACTCAACTTCTTGCAAAAGGGCAAAGTCATAATGAACTACGTCATAGTTTACAATCTTGATTCCTTTGACATGAGTTAAATGAAAAATACATTATGTAATTGCATACTGTCATTGAAAAATACTAACATTAAAAGTATTGTGAACAAAAAATACTGCGGCATGCGTACGTGTTCGCAGCAGATTTAATGCCCACAGGTCCCATGATAGGTTAATAAAATTTATTTTATCAAAAGAAACATTTTAGAGTTCTGGAGTTTTTCACAGAAATACTCGTATATTCACAGTATCGCAGAGTGCAATCAGTAGTTACACTTCAAACTACTAAGAACGTTAAACATAATGCAAAACGCATCTACAGAGAAAACTAACCTGGAAAAATCTCAGCACTCCGAATTCACGCTGAACTAACAACTCGCAACTAAGCGATTAAAAGTAGATGATCTTTTCGGCTTTGTATAGTTTTCACCCGGCCACCCAGATATTTTTAGTATTTTCTGCTTTTCCAAATTACTGGAAGGCAATATGAGGGTCGAATTACGGCTGCAGCTAATATAGTAATTAATTACGTTTATTCAATTACAATACCTGTTACTGTGATACAGGGACCGGACTAAAATGTCACCAAATGATCGCCAAGTTTGGCGACAAGAACTAGTCTCCAGAACCGCTGCTAGCTTTTCGATATATAGCCAAATTACGGAGATGATACCTATATAATCAATGTTAAATGGACTTGCCCCTGTATTCTCCCTTTTTCGGCATAGGTTGTCTGTCCAGATCTTTATATGTTACACTACCCAGGAAAATATAACAATTTCACATATATTTGCCCTTAAATCATCTATCTATGTACAATATTTGTAACAATACACTTATTAAGTACTCAAGCCATAAATTTATTATAATTTAATTGTTCTAAATATGCATAATTCTCAAATTCTCTATGTTATAATACTACTTATGTTTTCAAAAATCTTAACTGGAATGAAGAATGATAAAAAAATTATTTAAATTCTACATTGTTATTTTTAAAACTCGCACCGTATTCTGATGATTATTTTTTAATTTGACTAAAAATCAAACATCTTAAAAAAATCAAATCCTGTTTTTAAATATATACTTGAGCAGAAAATAAAATAAAGTTAACTACGTAAAATATAATGCTTGCAATAAAACGTAATCACACTTTAAAGTAAAGTGTTTTCTTTTCCATGAAGAGCTATAGTCCATGTTTGCTTCCCCAGGAGCTATCCTTGCACTGAGATAGCAGAGACAACACCGACTCTACTTGCAGAGATGTCATCTCCATGTATTCTAACCTCCTTAACGTCATCGGATGACAAACATAGCAAAGAACATCTATGTACATATTTTGACAATACATGATTCTTTAACATAGTCCTCTCATTTGCCGTCAAGGCCGTTTCTCTTACTTTCTTGTCAGTGATGGTTGATGTTTTTTGTTAATTTTGATACAAAATTTTCAGTTTTTAGCTTTAACTGCACAAAAATAATGAATTTTTTACAACCTTTGTAGTGATCACATTTGAGTACAATCCAATAAAAAAATCTCCTAAATTCAGGAAAAGCCTCTCTCCAAATATCTTTTATATATTGTTTGTGTTTGTGGCAACGGAAGATTTGTTTAGGTAAAGTCGTCTTGTTTGTATAAAGTCATTACGGACGATGAGGTGATGCTTTCACTGTGGTGTGTCATTTAGAAAGAAGTAAGTGTAGCATTTTAATTCTCTCCTCATAGGAAGAATTTTTAAAAACAAAATAGTTTTGTTGGCATATCTGCTATGATTTGCTAAGGAACGGGATTGTTAAATTTATGGCAGTATGACTGTGTCCGTCTGTATTCGTAATAAATTTTGCATCCTAATTTTTTACCTAATCTCTCTTTTTTTTAAAAAAAAGTTTCTTATTTTTAACACTTAATGATAAGGACTTTGTTGCTTTTACTTTGACATTGAAGTTTATATGCATGTTTTTGGAAGGCAGGTACTTTTCCATATTGGGAATTGTTGATCATAAAGTATATGTTTCTCTGAAAAGAAATTATCTGTGGTGCTCAGTTTAAAAGAAAGAAGTAAGGCCTAGTAATTTTACTGCCTACTTTACGGAACTATAAAACTTGAGCTTGGTGATGTCCCAGACAAACTTATAGGTTTTGCATTCATGTGTCAGTTTCCAAGATTATTTCGCTGTCAGATTCGGAAAAGAAAGCTAGAGATTTCTTTGTTAGAAATGAGCAAGAAAACGTGCCCTGCAACGAAATGAAAAGCTGTGCATTTTTAAAAATGAATAATTTTATTGCATTTGTTGTATAGTTATGTACATTTGTTTACTTATTTGTCAGACTTTTAAATTTGTAGTCTTCGGAGGTTTGTAAAAAGTCCAATTTCTTCATTGACACATGCTTTAAGTGACTGGAATATTCTTAAGAAAATTCTGATATTTCATAAATAAAACTTTTTTTTAAAGAATAAGAGTTTTTAAAGAATTTATATATTTATTAATTTGTATTATTTATAATTCTGTTAAAATGTTTCTTCATTTATTTCCATAAGCATCAATTGTAACCTGTAATAAATTAACTTTAAACATTGTTATCAAACTACTATATGCAAGCTTTTAGTTTTTATTTATTTATTTTTTAGTGTATAATGCTATGTTTTTGGAAAACAGAACAGAACTTACAATATATACCATAAAATAAAGTTTATTGCAGTTGATATTAAGTGAAAATTTCTGCTAGAATTTTTTGTGTATTGCAAAAAATAAAGCTGTATTAAATAATTATACTAAAGCTAACTAATGATGTAACAAATGAAATGAAATGGTACTAGTTTTTTTTTAATATTATTATTATTTTTTAAATTTTTTTCTAGTCGGCTTAAATTCGGCTGGAAATTAGCTTCAGTTCCTTTCAAATTTTAAATGGAATTTAAATTAAACAAGAGCCCCCAATAAAAGGAACTCTTGTATTTTTAGTCATTATTTAAGTATTTTTCATTAAATCAACAATTTTTTAAGCTCTTAACTCTTTATTTAATAATTATTATTGTATATATTTATTTACTTCTTTTGACAGCCATCTGTAGGGCTCGAGCACTACAATTGTGGAAATGAAATCATGTTTCAGATTAAGATTCACATGTTTTTAAGACTGTTTTATATTTATTTTTTAATAATTTGAGCAAAAATCCATTCTATAATTCTACATTGAAATAACTGGAATAATCCATAATCTATTTGAACCATATTATGGCATATTAAAGGAAAAGTAAGTTTATAAAATTATTTTTATTTGATATTTATTGCAGAGTTTTGTGATAATTGTAAGTATAAAAGGGTAAATTATAATTTTAGCTATTGTTTGCACCTATTGATTTTTTTTTTTTTTTTTTTTTTTTTTTAAGAACAAATATGCAAGAATTAAAGCAAGAAAGTTTTCAGAAAAAATAATTCATTTAATATTAATTACAACTTCAGCTGTTGTTTGTCATTATAGATTTTTTGTTTATTTTGTCTTTTTAGTTTTGAACGAGATAGACAAGAAAGGATTGTCATCCTTTGACAATGTTAGTGATATCTTGTGGAAGAATCCTATTTCATGAATTAACTCTGAGTTGTTGACATCTTATTTTTAAAATATATGGTTTTGCTTCTCCTTATTTTTTATATTAGAAAGGTCTGCAGCTTAGTCTTTTCTATTTTTCAGATTTTATTAGACTACAGAACATTTATAACCTACCTATATCTACAAACTGAGTTCTTGAAAACATTTCTATTTGATGTGGAATAAGACTTTGTATTCTGTAAATTTTAACCACACATGTCTAATAAAGCAAGTTAAAGTATTTTTTTAATATTTTTTTATTTTGGCATTATTATTTAAATATCATTTATGATACGTAGTTTTTAATGTATCTAATTCATGATTCTTATTTTATTGATAACTTTTATAAATATTTGTACCATTATTCTTATTACAAAAATATATTCGAGTCCATATGCTCGAATGTTGATAAACATTTATATGCCACCTAACGATGAGTTTTTTAGCTTACTTCAATATTTTTTATAAATGTTGGAATGAATGTTATTTTAATTGAAAGTTCATAAAGTGTTTTTTTTTTATTCTCTTGTTTATAAATAGCTGAGTTTTTTATATTATCCATATACATTCAAGCGCTTATATCAAAGATATTTCACACTTATGAGACGCAAGCTGCATAATGTTTAAAATTAAGCTTTTTTTTAAAATCCTTAATGCCTTAACTTTGTTTATTTTGATGACTTATTTGTTTACTCTTTTAATAGATGGGGTCATTAGTTATCCAATGTACTTGAATGGAGTATGATCGCAAATATGTCATCTGTTCTCCATGCATCTAATAGTAAGCAAAAGTCTACATCTGGAAAATTTAACCTTGAAATGGTTAATAATGAAAACAGCCAGAAGAAAACTGGTAAAAATGCGTTTATATTTTATTTGTATTAGTGATTTTCATATGTTTGATATACTTGAGTGATATACTAGTGATATAACTTGAGGGGGAAGGAAGAACCAGAGTTTGCCATTATAACATAATGTTTCCTTAAATAGATATTTGTAAAGTGTTAAGACCTGGCGTGATTTTTAAAATTATTTCAAGACATTAAAGAGGAATTGTAGATGCTTCTCTTATTTGAAAGCTAATTTTGTGACTGGGTTTTCTGATAATTTTAACTTCATGCTAGTATATTTAGGAATATGGGTGGTTTTTTATGCATTAATTTAAGTGTGTTATTTTTGTAAACATGATCAGGTTGCTCTTGTAATTCTGTCTGCAAATCTGGAATGTTTAAAAGGCAGGTAATTGGGAATTGTTGATCATAAAGTATATGTCTGTCTGAAATGAAATTATCTATGTTGCTCAGTTTAAAAGAAAATGCTAAGGCCTAGTAATTTTACTACCTACTTTACAGAACTCTTCCCCTCCTTTTTTTTAACTATATACTTTTAATTAAGCAACAAGGCATAAAAACTCTACAGATATTTTTCCAAAAGTTTTGTTTTATTATTTCTATATTGCAAAATAAAAGGTAACTAATTATCCAAATTAATGCTGAATTGAAAGTGGAATGGCATAAATCATGCATATTCTGATAAACATTATCATGAAGATCACCAGCATAGCTGCAGATTACAATGTGTGTTTATTCCAAATAAAGTAAAGTTTGTCACAATGAGTCAAAAGTTAACTTGGAATAACTAGGCAAGGGGTTAATCATTTTATTGATCATCTTAATTAAACAAAGAAAGAACCACCCATACCTAAAAATGTACTCGAAGTAAAAATTGTGCAGCAAAAAGCCTGGTGCAGCCTTTGACCATAGGTATAATTTTTATGAAGACAGCTAATGTTTATTCAGTTAATTTTGTATTCGATTTTGCTTTGCTAAATTTATCCACACAATAGTATATACATTAATTATTAATTTTATTTTCATCATATTTAAGAGTACTTTGATAAATGAAAGCTTTCCTTTTCTACTCAGAATTTTATTAATATAAAAGTTTAAGAAAACTTTGAAGTTAACAGAAGTATGTAAAATTTAGATATTATTATATTTTGCATCAGAATCATTTTATAAAAAGTTCAGTAATCTGAATCGTGCATCATAAAGGGAATTTGAATCAGTTTGGAGTTTGTTTAAAAGAGCTTTTCATAAAAGGAAAAACCTCCCAGAAACTCTTGGTTTTTTACATTTCAAGGTTGACACTCATGACATGTAAAAATAACCATAAAATTAAGATTGGACTATGTTGCCATAAAATCTTCAACTCATTGTTCCATCACTTTGGAGGGCGATTCTTATGAGCGACAGACCTAGCCATACATAAATAAATGTATCTATTACTGTATTGTAACTGTAGACAATTTCAACAGACAAGCATATTTTTGCCTCTTTAAGGGTAAAAGCTGCTGTCAGAGTGCAAATTGCTTACAAAAACTAATACAACTTGCAAATACATTTAGTTTCAATTATGGGAATTTAATTTTCACATTTTTGGTTAATAGTCTGAGGATTTCTGGTTAGGAAAGCACATAAATAAGCCATACTGTGCATTTTTATCACCATATTTGTTTATTTATTTCCTTGCACATTTGACTTGATACTAAACAAAAATGGAAGAGCAACATTCACTAGTTTTATGACAAAATCCTCCAGTACTTCTTTCTTATAGCAGTCTCAGAGATTGAATTGCCAATCAACTGAGATATGTTGCCAAAATCTGGCTGCATGTTCTTGTACCTCATCACGTGATTACATATGAGCACTAGATGCATTTCTTATACCTTGCCACATAATCATATGTTAGCACCATACTACATTTTTGCTCTTGCTGCATCATCTTGTTATTCATTTTTGATGAGGTTTTCGAATTTGCATTGTTTGTTTAAAAATATATGTTCATTTTGTGAATATGATGTAACAATCTTTAATTTACCAAGTAGTGAGGTGGATGTCATATTTTTCAAAAAGGAGGTTTTTTACCCGACAGACGAGTATGTGAAAATGGCCACAACATGAAACTTGCTGTTAACAAAGAAACTATTTGGTGATGCAGTGTTAGAAATTGCAAAAAAAAAAAAAAAAAAAAGAAGGGCCTTCGTCTTGGAAATTGATTCAGCATCCAGAATATCATTCGTCACTTATATTAAATTTTTGTATTCTTGGGCAGAGAATTTGATGTCCATGAAATGGTAAAACAAACAGCTTAATATGTGTGAAAGTGCTGCAGTTAACTGGAACAATTACAGGCAATGAAAAAATAATAACAATAAGGATTCTTAAAAATATTGTTAGGAAACAATATAAGGTATTTCGCTCATTTTTTACTTTCCTTCTTCAGACATAACCTAATGCCTTCTACAGTATCGCCCAAACTAAAAAAAGTAGTGGATGTTGATTCTCTACCACCAGGATTTGGCAATTAGGTCCCTTAATCCCCAGTCGCCTTTTAAAAAGAGGGAGTATATGAGGTATTTCTCCTGCCTTCGTAGTGTAATGGTCAGCACGCTCAGCGCATATTCAAGAGGTATGACCTTTGAGTCCCTGCGAGGGCATTGCTCATTTTCCAAGTCTCCTGCTTCCAAATAACCTAATGTTTATGCAGTAGCGCTCAAACTAAACAAGGTTGTGGATGATGATTCTTCATCATTAGGATTTGGCAAATGGTGTTCCCAATTCCCAGTCTCTCTTTAAAAGGGGGAATATATAAGGTATTTCTAATGCCTTCGTAGTGTAGTGTAGTTGTCAGCACACTCGGCACGTATTCGAGATGTCCGTAAGTTCGAGTCCCAGCGAGGGTATTGCTCTTTTTTTTATTTCTCTTGCTTTCAAAAAATAACCTAATGTCTCTACAATGACATGTGAATATTTTAGATCTGGGCACAAATCTAAAATCACCAAATATTGTTTTGGGGCCACTGTAAGAAAGAAGTACCAGTTTTCCAAAAGCTCATTGTATGGAAAAACATACCCTCTATTATTTTTTTTGAATAAGTTTTTCATTAATTTCCGCAGTTTTATAGCATTTATTGATTTTAAGTCTTTAACGAAATAATAAGATTTTGGCATGTACTTCTCTTGTGTAATTATTCTGATCAGTTGTTTGTGTTGTAATTCATTTGAAGTAAGCTTTGGTTTGCAAAACTTGACAGATGTTAACTCCTGACACCATAAATAAATTAAACATATGGAACGCAGAGTTGCCAACTCTCCAGATTTCTGACCATACTGCTGCCAACCCAATTTTTAACATATTTCTCCAAACTTTCTTTTATTAAAATTTCCCATGATTTTTATGTAGCTTGCCTCGATACTTCGTTATTTGCCCCCCAAAAAGTGATTTTTGGTGTCTGAAAGCGCTTGTTGGATGCATATAATAATACAGTCAAAAGTCGTTAATTCGGACACCTATAATCCGGAATGATCTATAATCTGGACTTCATGCGCACAAGACCTTTACTGCTGCGAATACACGTGTGCACGTGCACAAAATACATTTACAAATGTGCGTTTAATGTAATATAACAGACGGTATAAGCTAAGCTAAAATTATCTAATTCAGTTAATGTTGCTGATTGCGTTGTTCCTTAATCTTCGAATTGGATTTGGCTTATTATTTTTTGCAGACTGTTAGAGCAATTTTATAAAAGTAAGCTTGAACTTTCGATTATGTCAAATAGAATTTCTGATATATATTTACTAATATGTAAAGGATCTACAAAGCGAAATTATGTTTCGAAGTCCATTAAACAAAAAGTGGGATTGCTGCAAAAAATGGATAAAGGCATATCCTTTGTTTATCTAAACTTTGTTTATCTTTAACGCTTCGGCGCGCAATCAATTGGAAGTTGATCTGTCAGCACTATCCTTATCTTCAGGGCAGATGTTTTTATTTTATTTGGCTTATAATTCCTTACTAAATGTAGTATTTCATCTTGATGTACTCCATCTTTGATATGATTTAAATCAAATTCCTCGTCATTATAATTCACTTTCTATAGCAAAGAAAGTAACAGAGGTTATTGAAAACGAAAAAATTTCGATTGACAAATTAGTCAGTATTCTCGACACAGCAATTATAGGACTTGTTCAGTTACACAGCGGAACTTTGTAACTGAACAAGAAATTATGTCTGTTTATAGAATTAAAGAGAATGTATTATCACATAAAAAACGAAGCAACTTAAACAACTTACATTGAAAGAAATGTTTAATAAAGTAAACAAATAAATATTAAGCTTTTTTTTTTTTAAATTTTGATACCCTTTAGATCATAATTGTTCTTTATTTCATAAATTATGGTTTCCTATTTTTAATTTTATAATTTCTGCATGCCATCTTACCAGATTTAAACTGATGATTTATAATCCGGAAAAATCGATAATCCGGAATCGCCCGACGAGTCCGGATTAACGACTTTTGACTGTAATAGAAAAAAATGAAGTCATTTCATCACTGATATATGGCATGTTGCTGCTTATGTATGAGTTTATGTAATTGTAGAAGAAATGGGTATGAAAATTAAATCTTCAGTTACTGTTTGCATTGAAACAGTTCCATTCTGCTGCTCTACGGATGATGGAAGTAATAATAATACTGATTTGAAACTGTATCCAATTGTTGTTTCTATTTTTTTTTAATACAGAGTCTTCAGAAATTAAGTGTAGTTTACTTTCTGCCCCTAATTCAGAATAGATTCGACAGGCTTTAATAATAGCACAGCTAATTATTAAAACTTTAAAAGAAAGTGCAATTCTTCAGGATAATTGCTTAGCACTTATTGCCATACGAGGAATGCACCAGTATTGCAGGCTTGAAGATTAATGTTGCGGGCATTTTAAAAAAAAATCAAATTTTCAAATTATGAAATACACCGGTCACCATTTAATTCATGTTTTGTAGTTGATGATTAGTGATCTGGTTAAATTATTTAATAATTAGGGGAACTGATTAGAGTAGTTTTTTATTATTAAAAGGTACAAATAATAACACTTTTTTTACATGTAAGTATTTTTGCATTATTTGCATTTAAGAAATAATAAGTGACCTTTCAGATATTAATTAGTTAATATTTAAAGTAAATTCATTATTAAAATATTGCTTGTTTGTACATATTTTTATTATTTAAAAAATCTTTTTGTTGTTGAGAAAATTTTTTTGGTTTTTGAGTGTCGTAGGTTGGCAATTATGGTAATGAAAGGAATGCACAATCCAATAAATCACGTTTTAACAGCCTTTTTTCTTCCCAGTATAAAGGGAGGTTATACTCTCATAATCTGTTTGCAAATTCCAAGTCATGAAGTCCATTGCTGTTTTTTAAAAAAGTAAAATTGTTAAGTTGAAAACTTGCTTGTGTGAATGAAAGATATTTATTACCAGAAAAGAAGCCAAATCGAAAATTGATGCTTGAAGCTGAGGAAATATGGCAGTGCAAAAAGAGAACCAAGTGGAATGTCTTTAATGAAAAAGTACCCTACCTTTTTTAATTCTCACCCTGTTTTGTCCAAAAGCACCGTGGAAAATGGAATATAACTGTCTTATAGCTGAGAAACCTGCCAGCTTGCTGAACACTGCTAGTTCAACCTGGGTTCGATTCCAGATGAAAGAGCGCGCACCAAGGGCATATATGGGGTTTTCACCATGTGTAACATGGGTATGAATAAATTTTCCTTTGAACAAATTTGAATGAAGGCATCCCTCTACTTAGGTAGCTAGCCACTACGTGTTTTATTATAACAACTACTGTATTACTAGATCCTAAAAATTGCTGCACAGCAAAGGAATTTGTGCCTCAAATTTGTCAACAACCCTTCTTATTATGATATGTTAACGTAATAAAATTTGCTGGCAGGTGTTATAAGGCAGTCTGGGAACCTTGCAGACATCAGAAAATTGCATACATGTAAAGTGGGTTAGAATGATATCATAACATTACAAATAAGAACATGCATGCATTTAATTTAAAATGCTTTTTTTTTTCCTTCCACCCCTTTCAGTTGTCAGTTTATTTATGAGTAAATAATATGTATTAATTGTTTCAAGGGACAGATACTTGTTTTAAGCTAGTAACAGTATGTCTTTTCCCAGGCAGGAAGGGGGGATCTGGCTCTAGAACTACCTGTATATTTTTCACTATATGCATATGGAATTGGGCATGAATATTTTCAAAATCAGCATGGTTCTATAAAAATATATGTGCATGATCATTTGTTTTAATCCTTGTAATTTTTACGAATCCAAATAAATGAAACTCGGATTTCAGCTGTGATAAATTTGATAAGATGTGGAGCCAGTTTAATTAAACTTTAAAGATGGATCATATAATGCAAAAGGCAGAAATAATGTGCATCGTAATGCTACAAATGTATGTAAATTCTTATTTCATTTTGTATGGCCTGTATTAAGAAATTTAAAATATTGATATACAAATTACTTGAGAATAATTTCCTTAAATTATATATTTTTCATATGCAATTTTAACTCGTTCAGGACCAGCATCCCGTATACGCGATGCAACGATTCTGCTCCTAGGAGCCCAGCTTCGCGTATATGCGACATTAAAACACAATGATTTATTTGAATTTTTAAAAGCCAGTAAATATAGCTAAGTGGTTATTGTTTTCACATGGATTGATTCATACAGCATTTGACCTTTATGTATTGGCATTAGTTCCTGTTTTGTGCTTCTGGTTTTGAGATATTTATTGAAATTAACAAATCACGGCTCTTTATAAGTGCACCTGCGAATTAAAGAGCGTTTTTGTTTATTTCATTAGGAATTTTTTTTTGTTTCTTTTTCTATTTATTTTGAAACTTAACATAAGCTTTCTTGGTTAATTAAAAAGTAACATTACAACATTATTAGAGAAGGGGAACGACTATCAGCTTTCTTGACGCGTAATGTGTCTTGCTCGCATTTCTCAGGAGAGAGCCAGCGGTTTTGTTTTTCTTACTCGATTTAATAGATCATTGTATATAATGACACAGGCATTATATTTTGGTATGTAATGTATTTACATATAATGTAATTATATATAATGCATATATTGACGTGATCAGTAATGGATATTCCGCAAGTGGAGGATCTTTCCTTGATCACTTTCCGGTAATCGTGGATGCTGTTTTCGGTTAAAAAAACAGGAAGTCTTCTAATATAAACCTGATGTCACACAGTGTTTGAGGATGAAATATTGAAGTTTTGTGACATGTCTTGGGGTTATATTCAGTTTCATTCTGTTAGCCATGGCTAAGAGACCTCACTTAAAAACTTAAAAATTTGTCCAAAATCACCGGACCTTCCACCTTTCCGTCTAACTGGAAGACAGTTTCCGAAAATTTACGTTGACGGAGGAGCAAATAAAGGCAGAAGAAGATGTGTTGTGTGCGCTAAAACCGAGGAAAAGCGAAAGCAAACAACGTATTTTGAGTGCGAAATACGCAATGTAGGACTGCGTGTCAATTCTTGTTTTGAATTATTTCACACACAGCCAAATTTTTAAACTGAAATTTAATTACCTACAGGTAATTCTTGTTTATTTATTATTTTTTTTAATTTCTTATTTGTAATTTTTTTCATGTTTATAGTATTTATTTCTGTGTGCATAATTATGATTTTAGTATTTTGCCTGTTTATTTCTTTTAATGTGATATTCTTTATACTAATACACATTAAATACGCAACTTCAGAAATTGAAGTCATACTATCAAAATGCTGATTTTATACGATTTTTTTTTTTTTTTGTAAAATTAGGCTTAACTGCTGAAAATGCGTGAGGCGGTGGCGACGATCCATTTCAGAGTGTCTGGTGCCATGACTGCACTTCGTTCTCCCGGCGCTGGTCCTTACGGGGTTAAGATGCTGTAGTGTTTATATTAGGCTTATATTTAAATATGTCTGCTGTAAAGACTAATTGCTATTTTGACATTATTTACAATAAATGGAATAATCTAGAAACTTTTTCAAGTGGCTGGAATTTAATATCTGCTTGATTGGCTGCAAAAATTCATCTGAAAGTAAACATGGCTATCTGCGATTTTCATTAAAACTCATACTGGCTTTCTAATTTTCAAATTTACTTGGGTTTTGCCAAAGTGAAGGAAACTAAGCACATGCTGCATTCTGTTACTGTTGATTTTGTGGAGTTTCTTCCCATATTATTAAGTGTTGGTAAATTGCTTTTTTACCACACATTTGTATATTCTTTACATTATCTCAGTTTGCTAACCTTTTTTCACACTGTTATATTTTTTTAAGTATTTGTTTTCCTTTGCTGTGTAATACTTATTTTTCTTATAGCAGGTATACTTAGTACCAAGATAAAAGACAAGCTCAAGTTCACAATTTAGGAGGATGTGACTGATTTTAAGTTTCGTATTTTAACTTCAATTTTTTTTTACTATTTACTCATTTTCCCTTCATTTTTCTGTTACAGCATCATTGTATACATTGATTTCATGTAAATAAAAATATCAATAACTAAAAATTAAGAGATGTTTTTATTTTGTTTCATTAGTTATTTTGTGTTTTATTCTTATATTTCTTTTAATTTTAAAATTTATTTAGTTATTGGAATTGCGAAAAGTATTTTAGTTCAAATTCTTTTTCATTTTTCAAAAGCTCTTTTTTTTAATATAATTATTTTATTTTCACTTAATATGGATATTTTTTGGTTTAGCTTAAAAATACCATAAATTTTCCATAGAATGTATATTCTGATTTGGTTTTGTTTCCCCTAAAATTTACACAGTTGTTTCGAAAGTAATTGCAGATTTGATTTTTTTAACCTCGTATCCATTAAAAAAATTTTTTTTTAATCATTATATACTCAATCAGAAGAAACTATAAGTAAGTGTTATAATAGAAATATCGAAGCAATTTTTTAATTTTTTTTATTCCTTCTGCCTTAATGAAATATAAGGATAACTTCAAAAATGCATTCAGTGCATGAAAATTGACTATTTAAATACATACTATAAAAATTCATTTGCAGGTATTAATGTTGATGTATTTTTTATGACAACTAGTAAAAGTAAACATGGTAACTAATGTTAAGGTTAAATCAGTTGCTATATGTTTGCTTTTAACTCGGGTATGATTCTAAAGTGTATTTTAGTTTAATAAATAATAAAGTTGTTTTAAGATTAAATAAAGGATATTTCCATAACCTTGCATACTCTACTGTGGAAATTCTACTGTGGGTCTTAATTTTTGTGTTTTTCTTCATGGCAACTAACAGAAGCAGTGGTAAAGTTTGAAATTTGAATCAGTTGCTATATATTTGATGCTATCTCAGCTGTGATTGTAAAATGCCTTAATGTAATAAATAATAAGGTCATGTTACTTTTAGAATAAAGAAATGTTGTGGAAATAATATTGAATCTGTACTTGAAGCCTTCTGATTCATTCAAACATCGTACTTTTGAATTCAAAAGAGTGGTGTGTAAATTAAAACAATTTTTAATTTGATTGTATGTAACTTTGAAGATGGTGATGCTAAAAGCTGCTGATTTGTTTTTCTATGACAATAGACAATCAAGTAATTTTTTATCATCTTTAATTCAAGTTTAATTCTAAGAATAATAAAATAATAAATTTCAAAGTGCCAAGGTGAATGGAAGCACTCACATTTCAAGCATTTGCAGTATTATAAATGACGATAAAAAGAGAAAGTTATAGAATAAATGTTGGCTAAATAAAGGCGAAAATTTAATTTATTCAATTACCCAAAACCTCTTTCTAGAACCACAACTTGAAAAATTGTTCTGATTGACGAAAACTGCGTCACCATTATACCATTCCGACGTTTTTTACAAGGTTGTGGGCATCTTTAAGCTGGTCTACGGTTTTACATAAAGGTACGGGCAACTTTATAACAGTTCGGCTTTTTGATAAGAATGTAAACACCGTTTTTCATAAACCGCAAAGACACCCGTTTTTCATAAAAATGCCGCAGATTTATTTCATCCGCTGCTTAATTAACCAGTAATTGAAAGTCGAACTTGCATAAGGGATGCGCACTGTTATGAAAAACACTGGATTTGCTTAAGGATGCCAACGATAAGTTTGTGCTGCTCCCTTATGCCGCGGCACCGTATGAAGATTTCCTTTCCAACAGCGGTCTTACTTGCATAAAAGTGCGGCACCACTATCAAGTGCTCCGTTTATAATTATTGACTGGTTTTAGCAGAAGTAAACTGAAATGAATAATGATTAACTTTAAAGGTCTGTGCAAATGCAATAATGTAAAAAGCTTTGAGTGAAGAATAAGGCAATAATTTGTAATGTAGATTGTCATTTTTCTTTAATTTTAATTCATACGCATCTCTCTTGAGAGAATAAACTACAATGAGTTAAAAATACTATTTGGGCATAGCAAAGGCTTCAAGCATTTTTTGAAAAATAATTAAGTATTTAACTTAAACGAAGCACTTTTCTTGTATTCCATGCCTTAAGTTTAAAAATTGAAAAATCTTAAAATTGTGTAAAAAAATATTAAATAAACATTAAGTTATACATTTTTGTACAAATGGAAAAGAATGGATCATAACAGTACTAAAGCACACAGCGCACTTTTTTTAAATTCTAAACAAATCTGTTAATGTGTTGGTCCTCCTTTTTAAGATTTCACCGAGTCTTAAGTGTGGATAGCACAAAAGTTTCAGATTTGCTTTTCTCTTTTCGTTCTGCGGTAAGTTTTTCTTTTCAGTTTGTTTCTACTGGAAATCGATACCCTCAATAAGAGTGAGATGTGCGTGCGCTCAGCGCATATGTGTTTTGATTGCATCTAGACAATTATATACAATCCAAATTTTGCAAACATAGCGCCATACTTAGGATCATTGCTCTGATAAAGTTTATAATGCGACTATTTACAAAATGTATTTTTGAAGAGATTTCTTTTGACTATTTTTGTCGAACGTTTGGACACGTGAGGCACCATATCATCATCGCTTTGCAGTTATTTTGCCCGTTTGGGGATATATACTGGGTGAACATTCATTTAATCATAATCATGTTCCTTATCTCATAGAAGCAAGTGGATATTGCAGACTCCTAAAAAACGCTGTACTTAGGGCATTAGATCGTCTTAATTGGGCTCTGAACATATTGTTTCATATTATATATACTATATATAGGGTGCTCACTAAAGTCCGGTACTACCCGTTCAACTGCCGAACACTGTTTAACTGTTGTCTATAGTCATAAAAGTAGTATTTAAGTATAGTAAAATGGGCATGCGCTACTAGACGAGACCATTTACAGCGCCAACTGGTGCAAAACGGCGGAGTTAGCTTTCCTATCTCAAAAACGGTACGAGATTAGGAGGGAAAAGTGAATGTCGAAGGTGTGGAGTATCATCGATTTAGTACGAAAAGAGACCTCTTGGACATAAATGTTAAGAATAGAACGTTTTAAATGCGCATTTGTTCGTTCGCGATTTCTTACAATGTGACGTGATGAAACGATCTTAAAAAGGGGGGAAAAAAACTAGTTGTCACAAAATGCCTTTATTTTCGATGTTCAATCTTCTCTCCGTCATCTGAAATGCACACCTGGACCTTTCTTAAAACTCAGTGTGGCACACGTTGTAGCATAACAGGAGACACCGTTATGCTACAACGTGTGTAGCATAACGGTGTCACCTGTTAATGGTGCATAGCGGTGTGTTTGTAATACATCGTTGAAAGTTCTTCATTGTTTGCGAAAGGTTCGAATACGCCTGCTGTTTGAGGTATCCCTCACAGGAAAAACTGAAGTCAGATGAACTTGGAGGCTACTCTTGGAAACCACCTTAATGGCAGGTTCTGAACATGAAAAGCATGTCTTATTTTCCACACTATATCTGCCAAGAATGTTGGCTGGACATTTATGTGGTTCATGACGAAGTTATACCGTGCGAAACATCTCTCTGCTTTCCCGTCCAGTAATGCCTGATGTTCTATTAGGCGGTATGGAACTCATTTAGGATTTTCAGAACGCGACTTTTTGAGAGGTCACAGTTTTCACTTATCTCTTTTGTGCTGCTGTTTGGATATGTAAAGACGTATAATAATATATCTCCCGATTATACTTTCCGCCTTACATTAGTTGGTCTGCCGGATCGAAGTCACCTAATCACGCAGCCTGTCTTCCTTAAAATTGGAATTTCGACCCCCCCAAAAAATTGTAGGCAGTCTGATAGGCCTAAAGGAGTACACAGGTACAATTTTGTAAAGATAACAGTTATCGTTTTAATTCTGTGGGTGTGCCCGAAGCGAGCACACTGAATAAATAGAACTTCGAAAAGAGTGCTGAAACGAGCATTGCGAGGAAGCGCGTAAAAGAGTAAACGATTTTGTCTTCGATTGAGAAACATTAGATTCTGAATATCGTAGCAGATTTAGCATTACCCAGGGTGTGCCACGGGGAGGCTTGCTACTCTGCGTCCCCCCAAAAACTCTTCTTGGTTATATGATGTTTACATGCGTATAAATTTTTTAAAAAAGGAACTTGGGTATATGATATTTACAATTTCCTCGATTTTTTCTCCATGGTGATACTTTTCGAAGAAAGTGACTCCTTTTTTGAAAAAGCATAGCCCAACATTGCATGTTTTGCACATGTACCGGGATCCTTGTCAGATTCACTATCTGAAGGCAATTCGTGTATCACTTTCAGTGCTTCAGAAATGGTCAGCCCTCTCCGATCTATTTGCAAAATAATTAAAACTCCGGAAAAATAAACTAATATTATATCTACAATTAGAAATTATAAACTATAAAATAAAATTAAATGTGTCCACAACTCAAAACTATCGTAGCGTAGGTCTAACAAAACTTCTGTGAGCGAAAGAGAACTGCTCTAACGAAAAACTAAACAGCTAACTGATAAAATTACCCCTGACCTTCAGAAAACCACCCCAACAGTTTCTTAGTTGATAACCAAACCTCTCCTCCAAATCAGAATGAAAAACAGATGTGGACCCAGCTTTCTAATGTGAATCAGCTCGCCGAAGAGCTGCAGAGAAACAAAGATACAGTTGTTGGTCTGGTCATATTGTTTCCATGATCCCACTCTGGGCACACCTGATGTCCGCCGTTCGATTTGAGGTAAATGTTTACAACTAATATAACATAAGGAGATTAGCATACAACCAAGAAAATAACATGGAAATTTATTTTCAAACAATTATTTTTATATACTAAACAAATCTGAAAGATTTCTGTGAAAAATGAGGGTCTTTGAAAACTAAATATGGCTAAAATATATGGACTGGTTTGTGTTGTGCTGTCATCTAGTATAAATAAAGAAGGTTCAGAGTAACCTATCAATCGTTTTTCATTCAATTTTTCTCTGCATACAGAAGGAAATTTTTAGGTGCCACAAAGAGTTAAAAGGTAGCTTGCCGGAAAGGGATTAAGGTGCGTTGAGTTCATGCATTTTGTTTTGCGACCTGATTCGGCACGATCTGCATATGGTCTACTCTGTAAAGATAGTCAGAACAAAGAGGCACCCCGTGGAGTTGAACCACAATTCTGTCGATTGTAAATTGCAAGCGATGCGAGCTTGTTTTTCGCCTAAAAGAAATTTCATGACGTCATAATTTTGGAAATCAGGAAGAAATAAATATGCGTTTTCAGATTTTTGTTTTTAGCAATCATATCGACAAGTTTTCTTTTCGTATTAAATCAATGCTGCTCTACAACTTTATAATTCACTTTTTCCTTCTGTCTCGTACCGTTTTCGAGAAAGCAACACTAACTTCGCCGTTTTCCAACGGGTGTTTTTTAAGCGGTCTCATCTAGTAGCTCATACCACTTTAATGTACCAAGACACCACTTTCATGACTGAAGCTACAGCACTAAAACGGGTGGTACCGGACTTAAGTGGGCATCTTGTAAAGTACCTCTTAAGTATACTCATATTATTTTCCCTTATGTTAGCGAAACGGTTTCAAGTTCCCTTAAACAGGCTGAGAAGCATTGGTTAAATGGTATTTCGACTTATTACTAACGGTCTTATGACACCTATAGACGCGAAATGGAATGAGCGCCCTTTCGGAGAACTGCTTTCCTTCCAAGACTAATTTGAACGGCAGGTTTCTACCCACAACTGTGGAGGAATGTTGTATTCTTCGGCGTCAAAATGTCAAGTTCCTGCAGTCGTGCTCATTGTGTAAAGAACTGTAATATATATATTCTACCCTCATGTTGAAGAGAATTTTCACATTTTGGTCGATTATCTTTGTAACTGTTATGCAGATTTTAATGGTGTGGGCATAGGCTGAATGATTCAAAAATATATATTGTACAACAGTCATCACCACACGAATGATCCTGGGCAAAGGTCATCAACGCACAGATGTTATGTGTTTTAACAGCAAAAAAAGAGAATGGTC